TTTGGGGTCAGGCCAGGGGTTCTCGGTGTGGGGATGCGCAATCGCTGTGGGCTGCACCTTGGTGTTAACAATTAGAGCAGGGGTGTAGAGCAACGTTGTGTATCTGCCTCCCACAGACAAGGCTTTGATAAGCCCTGACATACCAGATCAGCCCTATAAAAATCTACAGAACCGAAAATGTTTCACGTCTCCATAAAAACATTCAGCCATATGCTGGTGCCTAAATCCATATGCATACACAGCTGATGTGCTCCAGCGTGGGGGAGTAGGGGAGGAGGGAGAGGTGCGGGAATGGCCCAAGACAAAGAAATTGGGAGGCTCCTGATACCCTGGCACACCGCCGGTATCGCCGGTCTGGGGTGGGTGTGCTGAGCTGGGATCTCACCCACCTCCCTCCAGCCAGGGATGGTGCCCCAGGCCCCGTGCTCAAGCCCTCCCCTCACTGCCCCGATGCTAAAGACAATCAACCCGATGCCTTCGAACCACTCACGCTGCTGCTCTCCCCTGGCTGCATCCCTTCTCCCCATCCCTGTCCTCCTCCCTCCGTCCATCTGCCCGTCTCTCTGCAGGACCCCATCCCTCTGAGAAAGGCCAGGCTTGTCTCCTCTCTTCCCGGAGATGGCCACCAGCCTTTTTGCCTTCCAGCCTGAAAGAACAGAGCCAGAATTCATCCTTGGAGCGCTGAAACTGGACACCATTTTATCAGTGGCCTGGAATGGGAAATTGGAGCCTGGGATGAGAGAATTGAATAACTCGAGCTTGTTTTCATTTCATGTTTAATTTCCTGCAGGCTTAGCTCAGTCTTTCCGCTGCTTCCACCAGCCTCCCAGGGTTTTATGGGGGAAAAGGGATCAAGATATATTACTTCTTGCTTTGCTTTGCTTTCTTTCTTTTCTTTTCTTTTCTTTTTTTTTTTTTCCAGGGCGGTGATTTTGCTACGGCCGAGTTTGACATTTCCCTTTCGCTTTCAAGCCTCCGACTCATCACAGGGTCATCACCAAAAACATTTCATTAATGGGCCTGGCAGTCATGAGGCCATCTCTGGGAGGGCTGAGGGGTTCTGTGCCATGCACAGGGAAGAAGCCACGTGTGAATACACGTTTGTGGCTCCCGTGGTTCTCTAGTGCCACCTCCTTGGTCATCTGCTGCAAGAGAGATGCTGCTCAGGAAATTGTTGCTGGTACCGAGCGGGAGCTCTTTTAGGGGTTCTGCAGCCCCACTTGTGGAAGATGAGGAAAAAGGAATGGGAAACAAACCATGCAGAGCTGCCTGCCCCTCTGCTTGGCTTACCTCAGCCTTGCAGGCACCTGAAGCTTGACCTCCATGAAATCATGTCAGGACACTCACCATCCCTTCGAGGACAACAACTTCCATTGGAGAGGGGCTGCTGAGCCCCTCTTCAAAGCCCTTGGGGCTGCAGGAGGTGTGTGTTCAGACACCCCACAGCAGCCAGAACCCCTCTGCCAGCTTGGCAGAGAGTGTCTGAGTCCATCGCAGCTATTTGGTTTGCAGGAGGAGCAAAGTAAGGAACTCGTGGCTTATTTGTGGTATCCACCCTCTGCCTCAGCCCTGGTGGGGTCCTTTTGCTTCACCATTGGTCTCTGGGGCTGCTGCCCCATGGCCTTGCCCACTCTGATGCTGATGGCCCTTGAGGGTGGCCTGGGGAGGTCCCCACAGAGCAGAGGGGTGGGAGGAGAACAAAAAAAATGAGCCTAAACAAGCTAGAACACAACCCAGAGCTGAAGACAGGTACTAGGGCGATTCCACTGAGGCTCTGGCCTCCTAAAGCTGCCCTGGTGGGAAGCGCAGCCCCACGCCATCAGCAGAAGAGCCCTTGTGCCATCCCAGGCTGTGTCCCCACCACACCGAGGCTAAGCATCTCTCCAGCCAGCCCTGGCACCCTGGTAACACACTGCTTGCTCCTACCTGGGGTACCCCGTACCCCAGCTGGTGTGAGCCTGGCTGGTTCTGGCTCCCCAGGCATGAGGAGGCTGAAGAGCCCTTCGTGGGGAGGTGGTGGTGGCTGGGTGTCAGCCTGCAGGGACAGGGTCCTCCTCGCCACAGCTAGGGGTAGGGAGCTGAGTGAAATGCACCCTGGGGTAAGTGCTCGAGAGGCCAGGCCACTCGGACAAGTCCTTCAGGCGCTGTGTCACACGAGCCCTGTCATCGCCATCCTGAGCAAGATGTGGGCTCAAGAGGAGAAGGGAGGTTCTCGGCTGCCCGTGATTATCTCAGGGCAGGGTGAAACCCAGATTCCCTCCTGGCTGCTTCCGCAGCATTATCCAGCGGTAAACTGGGGGTAAAAACCAAACAAAGCCAAAACCCTGAGCTTCTGAGTTGTGGCATCTGCCTCACCTGCCCTGGCTCTGTGAATCAGCTCCAGCTTGGAGGCGAGGAGCAGGAGCTCAGCACCCTCCAGCACCTTGTTCTCATCCCCCAGCGAAAAGAATTTCACACGCTGTGGGGTCGGAAACCCGACGCTGCGCCTGGCCTCCTCCCAGGAGACGCCATCAGCACCTGTGACGTGTCCCTGGGAAAGCAAAGGCTGGATCCGGCGGCAGAAGTAAAGAGCCGAGGTCGGTGGAGCTGCCATCCTCCACCCGTCTCCCCCGAGAGCCGCGTCGCTTTCTACTGGAATAAAGAGAAACAGCTGTGGGCAGGAAGAGCACGCCAGCCCTGCCAGCCAAGCGAGGCAAGCAGACCAGGAAAATCCTGCTGGAAGTAAATGCGCGAGGATGCTGGCCTGACTGCTTCAACCTTTTGCAGTGACTACTTGTAAAGGCAAGAGCAGAGGGTGGCTGAGCTGTGGGGCACCTGGGAGTCTTCCTGGTGTAAGAGATACAGCTGGATGTTCTTGATACTGGGGTGGTGAGGTGCTAAATGTCTGCAGGTGGAAGTCCTGGGATTAGCTAGAGTGGAGAATCGAGAGCCTAAGCTCCAGCGGGACCTTTGGTGGCCATCAAGGTGTGAGCTGTAGATGTTCACTCCGAGGGACGATGCTCCTTTTCACACACGCTTCTGAGCTCTGCCAGGCTGTCGGTTTAATCTTGAGCAGCACTTGGAGACTGGCTCATTCCTTCAGTGGGGAGCTCACTTCCAGGTCATTTTGGGGAAGCCAGTTCATGGGAGCTGGCTCCCGTGTGGGTGGAAGGGGTTGAGACTCTCCTGCTCCTCACGAGGTGGTGGCACCATTATTTTTTTGCTCCAGATCACCAGGCTTCTCGCAGCCTCGGCACTGCTTAGGCAAGGGGGCAACAAGAGCTTCCTCTCCTGTGTCACACTCTGTGTTTCTGAATGTCCCAGTCACCTCTGCCTCCCCGTCTCACCAGAAAGAGCCTGCTGGGCTTGCTGATGGCTCACCCACCCCTCACCCAGCCCCAGGCACATCCCCCATTACCTGCACACGAGCCTCGGTGAGGTCTGTCCTCATGGCCAGCTGCTCCCTGGCGTAGACGTCCGGGTAGTGGGTTTTCTGGAAGACCTTCTCCAGCTCCTCCAGCTGGTAACTAGTGAAGGTGGTGCGGTTCCTCCGTTTTTTGCCCTTGTTGCTCTCTGAGTCGGCCTTGTCCATGGGGCTGGGGAGGTCCGTGCTGGCCCTGTCCTGGGGCACTTTCACCCCGGCATCCTTCACGCTGAGGTAGCTGCTGTCCATTCCCGAAGGGTCGGAGCTTGGCTGCAGGTCAGCCTCTCCCAGACTGCTCTCCTTACCTATTCGGGAGGGAGGGGAGAGGAGGGTGGGTTTGAGGGGGATGGGGAGGGGGAGAGAGGGAAGGAAACAAATGTAAATCTATCAACCAATTAATTAACAGGCAGTGACTTACAAGAGCTGTTCAGTGAATCAGGAGGTGAATGCTTCAATCTCTGCCCAGAGTGGTTAGGTTAGTAATTCCTATCCATGCTGCCCTTACCAAGCCCAGGGATTGTGCCAACTGGCTAATCTTTTTATTATTATTATCATTTTCTTTCATATTATCTCTTTTTTTAAACATTCTCAGTCTAAGGATCAGTGTTTTTGGGAAGGAGCTCCACCATCTAGTGATGTCCCCACTGAGAGCTTTCCCCCAACTATGTCATATCCAGGGTCATTAATGCCAGCTCAGGCATCTTAGCCTGTATCTTTGGAAATTCCTTTTTTTGTTGTTGTTTTTGTTTTTTTCCAACACTCATCCCACGTTACAACATCCTTCCACTTTGTCCAGGTAGTAGAGAGGGGTCAAAGTCAGACCTGGGGTGAAGGCTCCGGAGATGCAGGAGCTATCTGCCACTACCACCCTACCGTGTTTTCAGATTTATTACTTTCTCTCACTTTGTGCCCTCAGGCTTTGGAGAAGCTCCCCGTAAAGCTCAGCAAAGCCTGATGTTGTGTATCTCAACGCTCTTTATTTTGATCCTTAGGAATGTTTTTGCCAAGATTTGTGCTCCCAGGTGTCCAGGGCAGTGATGGCCACCCTGCCTCCTCTTCACACCTGTGCTCTCCAACCTCCTCCATTGCTCCTGCAGGATGTTGGCGGACAGTCCAAAGTGGCGAGACAGTGCTCTGCCCCACACCTTGGGTAAATCATATGCTACGGCCAAGATATTTATTATTTTCAAAACTAATGGTAATAAAACAGTTCCAAAACATCTGCAGCAATGGACCTACGGATGCCACCTATGAGAGTGAGTAGAGACGGAGTAATAAATAAATAAAACTAGGTGCATGCCACCTACGAGAGTGAGTAGAGACGGTGTGAAAAATAAATACAACTGCTGCAAGAATTCTTTATTTCCTCCTTTCTCTTATTTATTATTTACAGTGCCAGGAATCTCGGTGCATTTTGCTCAGCCTTTGTGCCGGCTGCCTCCCCAGCCTCCAGCTCCCCACCGACTCCAGCAGCAGCAAACATGAGACCTGAGACTTTTCCTGGGGAGCTCCTCTGCCATTTCTTATCTGCTGAGGCAGCTCAGCAAACCGAGGAATGCTCCACACAAACACACACGCACGGGAATGAGCTGCCTCCAAGAGCAGGGCGGTGGGATGGGGAGCAGAGAGAGGACAAGGAGCGTCCACCCTCGACTGAGCATCCCGAGGAGTATCCCTAATTCCTTAGGAACGGGCTCCCTGACCTCCAGACAGGCATGCCAGCTGCTTGAAGTGCAGCAAATCGCGCACATCTGCATGTGGGTATGCCCAGACTTCCTGTAACTGGAGATGGCCTCAAAGTTCCATGTGAAGTTTCGGGGTGGCTGTTTCTAATCAAGCCTAGGGAGACCTTGAGTGACATGTTGTGAAGATCTCCAGGACGAGGAGGTAACGTGAGCATCGCGAGCCCCTCCAGGCCTCTGTTTGGATTCACAACCTGTATCTGTTCGGTTCCTGTAGCGAGATATATTGTAAGGGTGATCATATAAAATCTTCGCTATGTATGATCTTATCCGTGAAATTCAACTCGGAGTGAAGCCAGCTTGGTGCATCCACGTGCTGAAACCATTATATTTATTCCCGCACTGCCTGCAGCATCTTTCTGCCTCCTGCTCGTCATCGCAATGCAGGCTGTCAATATCGGGAAAGCAGCCACGTTTTGGGTGACATAGGGTAAAACAGAGCGGCTGGATTTTAGAAATACAAAGACCCACATCTTGAGGTTTATTTCTCTGCGCTCTCGCAGTCTGCGGATGCAGAGAAGAGTTTAGAGACTGATACTCACAATTTTTTAGCTGCATGTGGCACCACTGATTTTTTTAGCGTGGTCAGATGCTTAACCACACCTTCACTCTTGGACTGAACTGAAGCGTAAAACTGGGCAGCAGTCATCCCAAATACAGGTGGTAGAGGTCTACATAAGACACGAGCCATCAGCATCGTTGTGGCAGCCACGGTTACATTTGCTGCTAAGCAGAATCTGGTCAGAGCATCTCCGTTTCAGCTCCGAGTAAAGGATGAACCCACCGCCTCGTGCCCAGCCTGCCAGCAGTTCCCTTGAGTTTGCAGAAAGCAGAGCTGGTTCCCATGGGAAGGCACATCTGTCCCAGCCCGGGAGCTCATATAGTTGATCCTACAGAACCTGAAGGAAGGCTGGACCATGCTCCAGGCAGCTCCTCTTTCCTTCTACTGTGCTCCTCCTGACAGCACCTGGGTGTCCACATGTGCATCCATTGTTGCTTCTCCTCTTGCTTTTTTCCTAAACCAGCTTGCTTTTTCTTCTTTTTCTCCCACAAAACAACCACCTGCTTTTGAGGGCACGTGTGGCTTTAGTGTCCGATCAGCTGCATTCACACACCCTGTGGCTACTTGGGGACGGCTCAGTGTGGACTGCACAAAAGCAACAGGCGCTGCCTGCTCCTCTTTCATGTTCTTTAAAGGCCACTAACAAAACTGGCTTTTGTACAAACAAATCAGCACGGAAAACTCTGGATAGAAGCTGTGGTGAGAGGAAAAAAAGCACCGTTTATGCCCCAAGTCCTTCTTACGTGGCACGTTCCTTTGAGCAGCAGGAAGGAGCTGACTAGAGACTTTTGAAGGCACAAAAACCCTTCCAGCAACCTGTCGTAATTGCAGCTGACTTTGTGGCAGCCAGAACGCAATACAGGGTGAGAAAATGTTCTGTTGTTGCCTTCACGGGGAGAAAATGAAACCACCCGGCTGGGTACTGTGGCTTCCCCGCCACCAAACTCCATCTCCTCCAGCACCTCCCTCTCATCTCCAGCACATCTCCCCTGCAATTCCCACCCAAGGCTGGGTGAGAGGGAGGTACAAAGAGCCAGGTGCAACCTTCCTTGGTCTCAACACATGTTGTCTTCCTCACCAACAAAGCACCACCAGCCGTGGCGCGTGACAGCAGATCCAAAGCAGCCGCCTCATTAGAGGAGACGGACGCGAGGGCAAAACCCCCTGAAGGCTGCTGAGCCTTGCTCCCGTGTCTGGCCGTGGTACGGCTTCATTCCCTGCCAGCTTGGAGGGTGATTCAACCCATCCTGCGTGCCTGTGCCGGCCCGGGCAACATTCACCTCCATTGGGTCCGTCGGTCTGTCTCACTCTGAGTTCTTCTCTCTGTCCGCTCTAACCAAAGCGACTTGGAGGCGGCGGAGGCGAGCGACACATTGCTGAAGTTCAGCTGCCTCCCAGAGGTGACTTCCACTTGCCTGCTTCGTGCTGCTGGGGACGGAGAGGCTGGAGTCGTAAACCCGAAACGCCCTGGCGGAGCAGAGGGGCAGGAGGAGGGAGATTTAGAGCCACTTCGCCAGAACTCGGCCAACCTCTGCATTTGTGGTTCAAATTAGTGACAGGAGAACTTTGAAAAGACAAAGAGGCAGCTGAGCGGGCTCAGGACGTCGTGTCTCAGGAGAGATTTGGGTGCTACAATTTTCACTTGGGAATTGGGAAGCTGGAGTGATGGGAGAGCTGGAGTGAAAACAAAAAACACCTAGAAGTTGGCTGAACCTCAGTGAACCACAGAAAGGGTTGAGTTTAAACACGGGGCCAAAGTTTGGGCCAGGTTCTTTTAGCAAAACAGTTCTGCCATTCTTCAGTTTTATACAGCTGATTAGTACAGAAAGGCACGGATGAAGGAAGGAAAAACATCCAGCCATCCCCAAACCCGCTTGTTATTGGAAGCGAGGCTAAAACTTATTTTTGCACACTGCAAAACTCAAGACTGGCCAGGTTTGGGAGTTGCTAATGTCCCTACATAGCTGTGCTGTGTGGCCCGGCCATGAACCACAGCGTGTCTCTGCTATAACTGGGGAAAACGGGCAAAGAAAAGAAAATCTGCCTAAGACTGGCGTGCCTGGAAACTCCAGATGCCCCTTCCCCAGTCTAAACAAATATTTAAATTACTCGGAACACCACAATCTTCTTCTACGTATCCCCAAAGAGCATCTTAAAGCATCTACAGAAAAGGTCTCCGTTAACCTCTGCGTTAGAGGTGGGTATTTCAGCTCCAGTTAAACTGAAGTTTAATAAACCCTTGGCCTCCGTAGGATCCCTCCAGACCCTGCCCCAGCCTGGCTCCAGGACTACCCTCACCACCGGCATCTGCCACCGAGGTGCGGAACCACCACTGCCGCCTCCAATGGGAGCCCACCACCAATTGAGGCTCCACCAGCTCGCATTTCTTCTTCTTGGGGGCATGAAGATGACAGAAAGAACGTCTGAAACTCTTCTTTTTTTCTCCTCGGTCCTGAAATGTAGCCCTGAGCTTAGTGCACTTTTATCTCTGGAGGGTTAGCTCCATGTCCTTCATCTCACAGCAGAGAGAAGGTGCATGATCCCTGTGGGACTTCAGGAAAATACTGGGAAAGTCTGCTTGCTTCACGGTTTAAGCACAATATTTTCTTCATCAAAAAAAAAGCCAACATAGGTATGTTCAATAATCTCCTCTAAATGAAGTTTTGACAGCTTATGAAGGAGTAAAACCAGAACTGGATGACTTGGGCAATTATTCTCATGAACTATTGGATCTTAGAAAGAAATTCTTCAGTCTGAGGGTGGCAAGACTCTGGCATAGATTGCCCAAAGAGGCTGTTGCTGCCCCCTGCCTGGAGGTGTTCAAGGCCAGGTTGGATGAGTCCTTGAGCAACCTGGGCTGGTTAAGGGCGTCCCTGCCCATGGCAGGGGGGTTGGATTGGATGATCTCTGAGGTCCCTTCCCACCTAAGACATTCTAGGATTCTATGATTTGTGCAAGAGCCCAACCACATGGTTCACAAACGAAAGGGATGAAAACAATTTATAGAAGCAACGAGGCAAAGGTTTATTGATAACGAGGCACTGAGAGGAAATGGGATGAATGTGCCCAAGATTCCGCTGGTAAATGCACAATGAATAACGTTCGCAGCCAGCAACCTACGCTCTTCATTTTGGGTTGAGAATAGCAAGATGTGGGGCAAATGACAGATATTAAGAATAAAAAAAAATGGCCACTAGGTAGCAGTGAGCTAGATTGTGTGCTCTTACTTGCAAAATGGGAGATAGGTATTACTCAAAGGGTGAAATGTGTTTGTCAAGTTATTCAGCGCACTGAACACTCTGAGCTCGGGGAAGGGGGACTTAGTTTCATTTGGGAACTACTTCACCTCACAGCACATTTAATTGTCACTGTTGGCCTCAGCTATGCCTCTCAGATGCCCCAAATCATGCAATACCTTGGTATTTTGGCCTCCCTGTCCTTATCCAGAGCTCAGCTCCACTGCAAGCCTGACGAGCTTGACAGTGCACAGGAAAGAAAAAGACATCGTTAGATTTTTTTCAGACACAGAGAAAACAAATACGTGCTTTGTTTCAGCTACATTCTTGGAAATGGCTTAATTGATTCAGATGAACTTTAAAAAATAAAATAAAATAGTATTATAAAAACAGCCAGAGGCAAACAACTGCTGTGGGAGCTTTTACGCCAAATCATTAAGTTTTGATTAAGTTAGAAGCAACTGGGGGCAGGATTTTGGTAGGAAGTGTCAGGCAGTAGACACAAACACCAGTTGACTCTGGTAACATGCTTCCTAATAGAGAACAAAAAAAAATCATCACTCTTGGAAGCAATGAAGCTCCTGGAGCACCACTAATCCTCAGCAGAACCGGATGATTATGTGAAAGACGATGACCATGACAATCAGCCTAAATTAAAAGCTGCATCCACATCAGCCGAGCTCGCGCCCGCTTTTGTGTTTGTTTCCAGTTAACATTCCAGGGTGGGATCATATCGACACGAGTGACTGTGAATGTCAAGTAAACGCTAGCAAGTATTTAGAGAAATGGGCTTTAGGAACTCACAAAAAGGAGTATTTGCCCCAGAAACCTACCTCTGCCAGTGTTGCTCATCCAGCCAGGGGAAAGGTTCTTATCTCATGTGTCCACCATGTCCCTACCTACTCTCCACCACAGATCTTCCAGCTCCCTGCTCCTGGCACCGGCCGACACGCACGCACAAGGAGGAGATACACAGTCGAAGGTAAATAATGGGGCTCCAAACTACGAAACTCCTTCAGTGGACACAGCTTGTAGCTTCCAACAAGCTTGTAGGTTTTCAGGCCAAGGTTTTAGAGGAAGCTGTGGAAGCTTTCCATCCTGGAGCAGGTCAGAGAGCCCCTGTGCTGTTCCTAGAGGCTCACCTGCAATTAGGAATCCTCCCAGCATTTGCACCTCGTGTCCTCTGTTTTCCCAAAGCAAAGATGCAGCTTCCCAAATCGACTTAAATCACAACGTTCTTCCCCATTGACTCCTCCTCCCCCAGCTGAGGATAGCACAACTGCCGTACAGCCCAGTTTGCTCCAAGCTATTGCACATACTGGACTAAATAACCTTCCCATGTAAGTAACTCCTTTGTAAAACAACTCCCAGCTGAAAGGGAGTTGTGTAACTTTGTCAAAAACGTGATCTGGAGTAAACAGAAAGGGGAACATTGGTGCTCCATCTCCTATCAGCAAATGGACTGAGATGCTCATATGCTACAGGAAGAAGCTCTATAGATCATTAACAGTCGGGGAAGGTCTGGAAGCCGGTGTCTCATCTCCTTATTTAATGGGTCTTGCCCCTGAGGAGAAAGCTCTCCCAGGAGAGCTGAGGGTTGTGGAGCAGAGATGTTCTCACTTCTAGCAAGTCTTTGGTGTCTTCACAGCCTGGTTTCATCAGCTTGCCCTGGCTCCCAATCAGCACATCTGGGTGAGCCAAAGAGACCTGCTTGGCCCAAGGCATCCCTGCAGAACCAGCCCCTGCTCAGCCTCCTGCCAGCAGAACCCTGGCCCATACTGGGAGAGAGAATGTCAGGACAACCCATTCAGCCATTTACACACTCCTAATAATTTCAATTCAGGCCATTTTCATAGATCTCATCTATGAAATGTAGATGGCTCAACATCTACAGCTGTATTTGGCTTCCCTTGTAACTCCTCCTGGACCACGAGCCACTGGCCTCTTTCACGTTAACACATGGATGCGGTCACCACTAAACACCGTGGCTCATCTGCTTTGGGTTCCCAACCTCTCCATCTTCGTGGGACAGGGAATCAGATGGGTTTCCCCACATCAGAGAATGTGCATCTTTCCTGGGGCAATACTCACATTTGTTTTTCTCTAGGAAAATACCCGAGCAGTTCCGCTTCGTTATTTCGCAGAGCCCAGCCCATGCCAAATAGCCTTAATTTATGAACCTCTTCAAGGAGCGTGCTATGTTTTCCTGGGTAATGTCTGAAAAGGAGAATTGGGGTCAGACTGCACTTTCCATTTCTCTGAAAGTCGTTAAAATCAAGAGAATATACGAAGCGCTGAATTAGTCGTGGTCGTTGAGGAGCAGCACTGGGAGACCAGCTTGTATAAATAGAGGCATCTAGTCCAAGTGTCATGCAGTTGGCTCAAAAGCCTCCTCTCAGCACCAGCCAAGCTTCCCCTCTCCATCATCCATAGGATGCTTGGGTACACCTCCTGTTGCATCTACACGCATCCTACAAACCTGCCTCAAAGCCTCTGCCTTGTTGGACTCTCCTTCTTGTCAAGGTCCCCAAATATGGTGAAAAATTCATCCCTTAGAAGCTTGGTTGCAATCACAGTCTCTTGGTTCCTTTTTGGGTAAGCTTTGGGTCATTTTCTAAAGAAATCCATAGCTACCAACAAATATTGTCTGGCAGATTCCATCTCAGGCAGAGGCCCAACAACATCAACAGCGACGAATCGCAGCTAGGTCCCCAGGAGACACTGCTCAGTGAGGTTTCTCCCCATCTTTGGGGACCCACTTTTGAAACACAGCACATGCAAGAAAATGCATCACATTTCCTGTAGCAATTTTCCATCATCTGTCTGCATTTTTCTCAAAGCCAGTTCTTTTTTTTTGGCTTGACTAAGGATTTTGCAACCTCAAGATGTCCAATGGTTTTGACATCATAGCGAAACCTCAGAATCTCCTTTTTGAGTGTTTCGGGTATAATGAGCTCTCATGAATACTCATCACCCATTGTTTTATTTCCTCATTTCTTATACAACATTTCAGTTTTAAATTCCAAGCTTTCCCACCATGACCAGACAGCTTTTGCCCTGCTACTCTGAAGAGGGCCCGTATTCGAAAGCAGACATGGTTGCCAGATGAGAGTTGGGTTGGTTTTTTTTTCAGTTCACACCTTGTTTTGATACCAGCAGCCTTTTTGAGGGACACTTTTAGCTCCTTGGACTCTGCCCTTGCAAACCTACATTCACCGAATGAAGCCGGAGCGTTTTCATTCCTGCAGACTGCGAAAGAAAGGAGGGGAAAAAAAAAAAAAAAAAAAAAAAAGACAGCCTCGATCTTTTCTTGCTGTCCTGCTGAGGAAGATGTCTGCCTTGAAAAAAAGCATTTGAAGGAGGTGTGGGCCTTTGGAGACGACGGTCTCCTGCCGGCGCTGTCCCCACCCCAGAGGCAACTCCACCTGTGTCCAACTGCTTCAGCCCCTCTGCTCTGGCCACTGATGGAGATTTTTCTTCTCACAAGGAGCATGTGGAGCTTTTGTAAGCCCAAGAGCTCCAGTAGCAGGATCCCTGCCCCGTGAGGCCGGGCACGCTGTCGGTGCACTGGGGAGGGGCTGCCCTCCCTCCGGGTTCAATTATACATCAGCTGCCTCCAGCCCTCGACAGCGCTTTTTTAAAATGAGCAGCTCCTGTGCAAGGGTCTCCTGTATGCTGGGATGTCCTTAGCAATGGCATGGGAACCGGGTGGCCATGCCAGCTCTGTCAGTCCCTGCCTCACGCAGGTGATGGGAGACCCACGCGACAGTTTGCCGCGGACCTGTGCAAACACGAAAGCCATATCCACCGTGGAAACCAAAATGAGCCTAGTAAGGCACATCCCAGATATTATCTATTAATGATAAGGCACAAGCACCCTTTGATTAATACATTACTACACGGCGAAGCTCTTGCTGCCCTTTTTTGCTAACCAGGACAACAGATGGAGTCCAAGGACTGGCTACAAGCTCGAAGAGACAGCTCGGGGGCCTTGCCCATGGAGGCAGGCGCTGCAAACAGATTGCCCAAGCCTCTTTCTTTCACATGAGCCACATCTTCAAAGAAAAACACCACAGGCTGAAAGGCCTGGTGCTCAGCGACCAGGTCCCAGCTACAGCGATGCACATGCTGAGTCTCAGTTCATCTCCCACCTTGGCTATGCTGAGCATTTTCCTGCATAAAATCAGTCTCCCGCACGTGTTTTTCCCATCAAGGATGCTCTTCCTCAGTTCTTACCTCCTCTCATACCCATGGGGTGGCTCTGTTTTGGATTGTCCCATCCTCTCACAGGCAACAAACCCCTCTTGCTGCTTCGCTTCCCCTGTAGCCCTCCCTCTGAGGCAGACCACTGCCAAACGGAGATAAATGGGTTGTTCAACCAGGAACTCCACATTTTGCCACCAAGGCCAAGGAAAAGGGGATTTCCAGTGCAACCAGCCACAAAAGCACCCTTTCCATAAGCAAGCTAATTAAAGGTTATAAGGGAAGGGCGGGGTTCTCTGAACATCACCTTAATATCCAGCCCTGGGTACCACAAAGCCTTGCTGCAGCCTCAGCTCTGACTCAAAACCAGCATTACCCTGCTTTGCGTGTGCAGCTTCAGGTCCCCCTGCTTCCTGAGTCAAGTTTGGGCCTTTTGGTGGGTTTTTACTTTACATTTATAAAGACGCTCTCTGTGGATATTTCCTCACCCCATCAGAGCCGCGGTTAACTGAGTCACAGCACTCACGTTTGATGCTGTAGCCAGTCCCCCATTGCTTTCCACTCTGCTCCAGTCCCTTTTTCTAATAGCTTGAAGTGGCACAAACTGGATGGAAATACTCTTCTCTCTGGCACAGGATGCTTTATACCTATATAAAGCAACCAGCTTCCCTCTCTTCCAGCGGCAGCTTTCTGACTTCTGTTCAAGAGCTGAAATGCAATATTTAAGCTCTGTCATAAATCCCACAAACTTCACGGAGCATTTCTGGCCTCCTGCACAAACTGCCTAAGCGTCTAGCAATTGGTCCATCGGCTATTTGTCTTGGAAGTCCTCGCTGGCACCCAGTAGACGTGAGGAACAGAAAATGTCTGCAGGTCGTCTGCCAATTTAGGTGGGTCTCTTCTTCCTCTTGCCTTCTAGCATTTGGCTGTGTCCTGTCTAGCTCAGGCTGATATCTGGCTCCAATCTGCTTACGAAGGTTCAGACCAAATCTTGATAAGCCGGGTTTATGTCTATAACGCTGTGCTTCTCAGCTCTCAGGTATGGGTCCTTGCCACAGCTGTGCTCCTGACTCTGCTCCAGGATGAGGTCTGGGCATGCACGATTCCAGGGAAGGCTGGAAAAGAACCCTGCAGTGCTCCAGAAAGTCCTGTGGCCTCCTGAACCGAAGACCAGCACACTGGTTGAGGCTGCAGAGCACACCCCTTGCCCTGGCGTTTGGCCTCAGGCTCTGCCCTCTGAACAAGTGCTGCAGAGCAAGGCTCTGTCTGGCTGCTCTTTCCAGCTGGCCACGTGGTGGGAACGGACAAGCATCAGCCTCCCACGGGGTCCTTTCTCGAGCGGAGTCGCTGAGGCTGGAAAAACGCAGCGCTGTGGACCTCCTCGTGCCTGTGTCACAGACTGGATATGGCCAGTCCTATGGGTGACCCAAGCCCTGCCTGGCTGACCCATCATCCTGAGGCCAGCTCCATGCCCAGCTCATGCTGGGGAACCTTCAGTTCCCTTTCTGAGACAATTTTCTTCTTTCGGAAACCTTGCTGTGGCTCAGGCCTCCTGTTACATTTCAGGCTGAACTACTTCTCATTTCCCCTGTTTGGTGAGACATCACCTGGCCTGTGTCACACACGTTCCTCAGCACCTCACAGAGACAGGCTCTTGCAGCTGGGTCTTCAGATCGCTCTGGGCACTGTCCCAGCACATCTTCTGGTTGTCTTCAACCCTTTCTGGGAGAATTCCCCCTTATTGCCCTCTTTTCCTGTGCAAGAGTTTACAAGTTCGGTTTTCTGCAGTTTTCAGACTTCTTTCCAAAGAGTTTTCCCCCAGCCTCAGCTTAGAGCATGTCTATCAGTGACTAAACCAGTTTACCTTTCAGGCTCCATCCCCAGCTGAAAACCCTCTTGCCTTACAGCTAATGAACACTATTTGTGCTAATCAAGAATATATTTAGAAATAATGCTGAGTCAACCAGCTGTTTCCAGCAAGCAGATTAACTGCAACAGGATAAACCCTTAAGCAGCATCTTCACTAAAAAAAAATTACATTTATCAGATATCAATGGGCATTTAACTGCTGAGTGAGACGATGCAATGGTCTTTGAGCAGTGCAGATAAGGAGAGACCATAGCTCATGACATAGCAGCTTGTCATGTCTAAATCCTGCTAGGACCTGAAGATAGCAGCTACTCAGTGTTGACTCACAGCTATCCTCAGCAGAGAGGTGAAGAATTTAATGCTGGTAGATTCATACTTATATAGTCCATAAAATCAGCTGCAGACGACCTTCCATAATAGTGCTGGGTCTGCCACTGCTCATCACCCATCCAAGATAGCTCCTCTTCTTCTTCCCTGCCTCTTTTCAGTCATCCCTGTTCCTTCCCCCGCTTCATGACCCATCTCTCTTTAATCAAAAAAAGGCCCTAGAAAGATTGAGGTGATTCCAGTAGCTTTTTCACATCATATCTACTTATGTGACAGTCAGAATATGAAGATAGTTTGCTAGCATGAATGAAAACACAACTGAGCAGATTCACTAGTATGTATAATAATATTGGTTTATCTGAATTTACACAGAAGATAAAACTGTCACTTATTTAACATACATAAGTAGTTTTCCTCCTTATGAACTTTCATTTACAAGTTGAGGCAGCTGAGAGACAAGCAACTATGTTAAATTACTCTAACACCTTATTCATATTAAATGTTCCCATCCCTCTCTTCATAAATGTTTCTCAAGTCATAGAGGTCCTGTGTTAGCTGTGTTGCTGCTCAGCCTTCTCTTAATCCAGAACTCTCTCTCTTTTCCTTTTAAAAATATATCTAGATGAAGATACTAGATCTATGTTTACAAGCTGATTAACAATTGAGGTGGACGTTTTTTTTTTTCCCCTAGGTGTGTAGGAGGAATACCTCAGAAACATACGGGGTTTGGGGCAGGAATTTTTCAGCGTTTTCTAAAAAGCTGTGACCAACTCATATCTCATGTTGGCCAAGGTAGGTAGCCCACACTGACGAGCTGTTTTTTAAAGCTGAGACCATCAACAGAGATTGTCAGGTTGCCCTCACTTTGTGTACTGAGAGACCTGAGCGTATGAGAACCTGCCCACTGCTACAGGCTTCTTGCACCGAATAAGGACCTGGCTCTCAAGAAATCTAAGTTCAGTCTGCTCCAAAACCAAACACAGGTCCTCTACTCTGTGACTTTTCAGACTCTGGCAGTGGGCTCCTTCCCCAGCCTACCGAGAGCCTCCTTCTGCTGGAGCCACAGCCCTGGGAAGGTCACGCTGATGCCACTGAGCAGGGATAGCTTCACCTCACACAAGCCACTGGCAGGTTCTGAGTCTCATTTTTTCCAACTGGGAAATCGGAAGAAAATCTCTTACTGCCACAGGATGCATCACACTTTTTTTACCTGAGAAATGCTACAGCTACCCGAATAGTCAGAACAAGAAAATAAAGCGGGTGAAGGACTCCAGGGAAAGAAACTCTCTGAAGAACCGGGAACTAGGGCGGCCGAATGGCCAGGGCCGTGGCTGGAGATGTCCTTTAGCAGCAGACCTTGGCTCCAAGCCTCCCAGACACCACCTCCCTCTTACGAGGGAAACTCATCATGGCTTTGAACGCAGGGCTTGGAAAAGGAATAAATCTTCAAGATCTGAGGGCTCGAAGCCTACACATTAGCTCCCCTTAAACCCTGAGTGCATTTAACTTGGGAGGTTAGAAACCGCAGCCAAAGAAATCTCTTTTGATTCACAACTTGTTTTGAGCAGTCACCCAGAAAGCAGCCGGTGAATCACCCCAGCCGGTTAGTCATGCAACCACACCGAAAGCACACTCGAAAAGGCTGCACAAAATAAACAGCCTGCGGCTCCAGATAACACACACACAGCTCCTTGGCGCTATCTGGCATCAGCGTATATTGTTAATGGGACTCCTACACCAAACCCTTAGGAAAAGACGCACTCCGTAAGCATCTCCAAATCTCTCTCCCCATCAGTATGTTTTTTCCCCTCGTCTGCTTCGCGCCGTGCTGCTTTGGAAAACGATTAAGACTTGCGAAAAGTTTTAAGTCTCTGTTCTCTCCCTCTTTCCGCCCCGTTCTCGCTGCCGGGAAGGTCCTGCTGGCGTTACAAACGGGCGTAGGGTAGGGCTAAAGCGGAGTTAATCCCCATCAGCGGCGGGCAGTCGAAAATAAACAGCTCTAACGAGAAAAGAAATCTTCCTGCGACGAGGGAGCGGCAAGAATACAGGGGAGGGAGGCTCCCGAGCCTTCGACATGAGCGTTATAAACAGCTCGGGTCAGGAATCCTGTAAAAGCCTCCGGGGCAGATCTACTGTCCGAGGCAAGAGAAGCCCCCAAACCATCTTTTGGGAAGAGCCGCGACTGCGCAGCCGGGGTAAGGAGCGTGTGAGCCCTACCTTCGCGTCCTGCTCCCTGAGGAAATCCCGCAGGTTTCCGCGGAGGAGGAGATCCCGCACCTCCGAGTGTCTGTTCAAACAGAGGCTTAGGCAAACTCCCGGCGAGAGCTCCCTCCCCTCCCTGGGAGGGTGCCGGAGCCCTTGAATGGCAGATCTGGTGGCCCTATTGTGGAAAAGAGAGGGCGATTGCCAGGGC